GTCGCCTCTCCACGACGTCAATTTCGGTGTTAGTGAATGGCTCTCCTACAGAGGAGTTCTCGATGGGCAAAGGGTTGAGACAAGGATGCAGTTTGTCTCCTCTCTTGTTTAATTTAGTGGGGGAACTGTTAAATCGTATGTTAGTGAAAGCAGCGGATGTGGGACTTTTTCAGGGTTTTGCTTTTGGAAGATCGGTTTCCTTTAATTTAACCCATTAACAATTTGCTGACGACCTGATTTTGTTTTGCCGAGATTCACCTACCTATATTCTCAATATTAAGAGTCTTGAGGATTTTTAGCCTAATGACTGGACTCCGTTTGAATTTGTCGAAGAGTAATTTGTATGGAATTAATGTGGATGACAATGTATTAAATGAATGGGCGAAGGAGGCTGGTTGCACAGTAGGTGTTCTGCTTACAGTATATTTAGGTTTACCATTAGGTGCAAAGAGAAATTCAGAGGCTGTTTGGGAGCCAGTCTTTCAGAGTTTCATCAAAAAGTTATCCGGATGGAAAGCTTCCACACTATCTATGGCGGGCAGATTGGTGTTGATAAAATCAGTTCTGTCCTCCTTGCCGATTTTCTACCTCTCTGTTTCAGAATCCCGAGTAAGGTTTATAGGAAGTTAAATTCTCTTATGGCCAACTTTTTGTGGGGGGAAGGTTCTTCAAAAAGTCGAATTCACTGGGTGAATTGGAAAAGGGTTTGTCAACCCTTCGAGGAGGAAGGTTTGGGAATCTTGGATCTGAATTTCGCTAACAGAGTGCTACTAGGTAAATGGGTATGGAAGTTCGCAAATGAAAAAGACACTCTTTGGAAGAACATGATTTGCAGTAAACATAATGTGAGTAATCTGTCTTTAGACCTCAAAAAGGTAGTCTCTCCTTCGGATTCTTGGATATAGAAGGGTATTACAAGAAACTATTTGGCAGAGGATGCAATTGGTTATGGTTTGCGATCTCACTCGAAGATTCAAGTAGGCAATGGCAAGTCTATTGTATTCTGGCACGATGTTTGGCTAAATGAGGATTCTTTAAAGAATCAATTTCCAAGGATCTATGTTCTTTCCAATAACAAGTGGGGAAAAGTTTCTGAGTTTGGCAGTTTCTCGAGCAATAAATGGATTTGGAATATTCAAACGAGAAGGAATCTATGTGATTGGGAGCTGGATTACTGGATTCAATTGATGTCATTATTGGAAAATGTTGGTCTGTCTGAATCAGTGGATGATTTTCTGGCGTGGTCGAGGAAAGGAGATGGACTGTTCACTGCTAAAGCATGTAGGTTGACTCTTTCTACAAATTCAGGGGGTAGTTTCAAGTGGAAAAGGTTCGTTTGGTCAGGTTTGGCTCCCCCAAGAGTCGAAACTTTTCTGTGGTAGGTCTCTCATCAAAGATTGGCAGTTAGAACGGAGTTGACAAGGAGAGGTGTTTCATTGGAGGAGGTCTCTTGTCCGTTTTGTGCTCAACAGGAAGAAACAGTTCAACACTTGTTCATATCGTGTTTGGTAGCATGGGACCTATGGAGCAGTTTTTGGAGGTTATGGGAAGTCTCGTCAGTCTTACCTAAAGACCCAGTCTCTTTGCTGTGCTCTTGGTCGGACATGAGGCCAAATTCTCTAATATGGAGCTTTATACCGGGTGTAGTTCTATGGTCATTATGGAAGGCTAGAAACTCGGTGGTTTTCGATGATTGGAAACTGGACAGCCATACTCTTTTCTTCATTTGTAGATTTAGATTGGCTAAATGGTTCCTGGCTAAGCACCAGGACGTCTTTATTCAGGTAGACTCCCTTGTTGAGGACCCTACACTTGCAGACAAGCACCATACTAGGAACAGTAAAAGGATGAAGGTTCAGGGCTGGCTTCCTCCTCCACTTCATTTTTTCAAAGTTAATGTTGATGGGGCAGTCAGTGGGGACGGGCTGCTAGGGGGAATGGGGGCATTTTAAGAGATTCAGAAAGTAAAATTCTTGGGTCCTTCTCGCACGCTGTTGGACCAGGTCCTCCCCCACTTGCTGAGCTGAAAGCCATTGAGAAAGGCATTGACTTTTTTCTCTCGTCGGATTGGGCGAGGAAGGGAAGGTTAATTATAGAGAGTGATTGTAAATCAGTAGTGGATTGGATTTTGCTGCCGACATCATCTCCTCGTTTTTTTAGTTCGTTGGTTCAGAAAATTGCTTCCCTAATCTTGGAGAGGGAGATCATTATTAGACATATCCCGAGGAGCTGCAATTGTGAGGCTGATACTTTAGCTAAACAGGGGATTGGATGATGAATGAAGGTTGCCTTAGAGGTTTTGCAGTAGGGTTGGTGGTCTATTGAGGTTGTTGGGGCTGAGTCAGTTTTGGTATTGTTTAAGGGAGTTCTGGTCGCATTGGGGTTTTGCTTTCTACGTTCTGTAATTTTTTAGGTTTTGTTATTTTGTCTTATGGCTTTATTTTATGTACTTTGTCTTTGATGAATAAAATCCTAAGGCACTCTTTTCCACCTTCCGCTGATTAAGGAGCTTTCCTAAAAGATCCATTAATCAAGAAGGGGGTTTTTAATGAGGCCGGAAATTCTTAAAAAAAAATTATTAAATCATCCGCAAATTGCAAATGAGATAACATGAAAGAACGTTCATTAGAGCCTAATTCAAAACCCGAAAACAGCCCCTTATTCACTGCTTTTACCAACATTAAATGTAGCAATTCCCCTCCCAAATTGAACAACAAAGGGGATAACGAGCAGCCCTGCCTTAGCCCTCTAGTAATGTGAATTTTCTCCGTAGGTGTGCCATTTACCAAAACTGAAATGGAAGCTGTTGAAACACACTTGTACATCCAAGAACTCCATCTAGCTCCAAACCCCATTTTACTCTTTATTTTCAGCAAGATCCTCCAATCAACCGTATCAAAAGCTCTTTTGAAATCCACTTTAAAAACAACTCCCTTCAATCCTTTTTTCCTCCAACAATCAATGCCTTCATTTGCTATAAACGAGCAATCTAAAATGTGCCTCCCCGGTATAAAAGCGAACTGTGAAGGACTAATAACTTCATTAATGCATAAGTTTAACCTTCTAGCCAGAACTTTTGAGAGAATTTTGTAGAAACCCCCAACTAGACTAATAAACCTAAAGTCTTCAAGCCCCTCTGGATTGTCCCTCTTGGGAATAAGAGAGAGGAAAGAATGATTGGTTTCCATGTCCCATTCCTTTCCCTCATAAAAATCTTTAAAAAACAGCAGCAAAATTTCCTTCATACTTGATCAAAACTTCTTAAAAAAACCTTAATTCAGTCCATCCGGGCCAGGTGCTTTATTGCAATCCGAATTAGCGATTACACCCCAAATTTCCTCTTCAGAAAAAGGCTTCTCGAGTGCCATACTCTGCTGATTCGATAGCTGTAAAAAATCCAAGTCCATCTCCTCAACTTCCAATGTATTTTCCTGATTAAACAACCCCTTGAAAAAGTGCACCACCGAAGCTTTAATTAATTTGGATCTGAGATGTCTTCATTATCTACTTTGATGGATTTGATACCATTTCTCCTTCCTCTACCTCTTGCACACTGGTGGAAAAATCTAGTGTTCTTATTATCCCCATTCAAACTCCACTTCAATCTTGACTTTTGAAGCCAAATCAATTCATCTTTTTTGTACAAGTCCCACAACTCTTTCTTTGCTTCCACTAGGTTCTTCATAGACACCATGGAGAGACCTTGTTGCAGATTAAGTTCCATCTCCTGAATTTCTTTCTCCAACCTATTTATTCTCCCGGGGATCTCAAGATAACCCTTCCCAGACCAATTCTTCACTGCATCCTGCACTCCTTTTAGTACACTGGAGATTGGTTGTCTATTCTCCACATTACAAAGCTTGACCAGTTCTCCCTCCATCATCCTACAAAATCCATCTTCTTCCAAGACATAATTAAACAATTTGAACGGTTTAGGGCCCCAATTCCAGCCCCTATTTTCCAGCAAGATGCTGTTATGATCTGAAACAGACCTTTCAAGGAGTCTTTGAGTTATCATAGGGAACAATGATAAAAATCTTTGATCCACTAGGAATCGATCAAGCCTCTCATAAGTTGGGATATCCCTATTGTTACACCATGTAAATCGACCTCCAACCAAAGGCAAATCCAGTAAATTTGCTTTGCTCATAAAATCTTTGAAAGCAAACATTGTAATTAGGTTCACTGCACCTCCCATCTTTTCATATTGTGACATTACAACATTGAGGTCTCCTCCGAGACACACTGGACAGTCTATATTCTCTAAGAATGATAACAGCTCCCCGAAAAACGCCTCCTTTTCTGAATCGACACTCGGACCGTACACATTTATGAACCAACAGGATCCTTGTAACCCATCAATAATACCCTTAACTGCTACAAACCTCCTATGAATGATTTCCTCTATAATCTTACACTCTTTTTCATTCCATAAAGTAATCAGACCTCCAGCAGAACCTACAGCTGCTGAAACTGCCGAAGCTGTCAACAAATTACCACCCATTTTCCTCACTACCAGCGGAGTCAACACTTCCATTTTCGATTCCTGAATGAATAAAATTACAGGCTTTCTCTCCTTAACAACCCTCCTTACAGCTCTAGCCTTAGTCCTCCTACCCAAACCTCTAACATTCCAAGACAATAAATTCCAACTAGTCATCTATATCCAGTCATAACCTTGAAATCCATCACCCCTTAATTCCAACCTTTTCTTAACTATCACTGATATCCAACCTTTCCTTTTTGGCTCTTGACACCACTCGACGGTGTGAACTGCCTTGCACTAAATACATATACTCTTAAATTTTCAAGTAATCAGAGACCATGTAATCAGAGAACGATAGAAAGATATCCAAGTAATCAGAGAACGATAGAAATTTTTCATATACTCTTAAATTTTCAGCTAATTAAGCATGATTCTATTTTCTCCGAGACCATTTTTCTGTAGAAGTACTAAATACATAATTCTATGGAGGTTGATTGGCTGCCTGCTTATACAGGATTACGAGTATGCAACATACAATCCTGTTGCCTTTGATATCGCAAACCACTTTTGTGAGATGGCTGCCGACTATCACACAGAAACACCCCATGTTATGGATTATACTAAATATCCAGGTGAGCCTTTTGGATCTCATTTTTCCTTATAAAAGATGCATTATATTCACTGAATGGTAAAAAAAAATTCTCGTCCTTCGGCATACATAGGTTTGGAAGAGCGCTTAAGGTTTTTACGTGCATACCTGCACTCTTCAGGTAACTGTTTATTGCTTGTATGACATTCTTTGACTTTTTAATTGTTCACAGGGTGGTTTTTTTTTTTATAGAAGTTGGAGGTCTCATTAAAAACTCCCTTAATATTCTTCCACATACTTAGAAGTATGTTGAAGAACATTAGAAGGGAGAAAAGAGTGCCTCATATTTTATTAAATAGAAGACCAAGTACATGTGGTAACACCGATCCCTCATACGGGAATATACACCAATACAAACCACATCACCTAGAAATCTTACATCGTCAAACAAAAAGCCCCTAAAACAATAACCCCAGTTGTAAAATACACCTCAAGATGTAAGATAACATAGCAAAATAAAAACCAACAATTACAACCACAAACTTAAAAACGCCTCTGAATACAGCTGCATTCGTGTCTAACAGTCTATAATTGTTTTATTCTGCTGGCAATTTAGCTTATATCTAGTTCTTCCTCTTTTACTCAAAGGACTGATTCAACACATTTGAGCAGTCGAGAGAATGGAAAAAGGAAGAAAGCGAGAGAAAAAGAAATTTCCTAATTTTTATAGGTTTCTGTTCCTCCTAACTTTATCTCCTAAGAAACTGAATCCTAATCGTATAATGTAGATAAGTTACAAATAGATTAAACTTCTAAGTGAAATTAAACTCCTAATTGTTGGCAACTTTCTACAACACATTTTCTTTTTTTTTAAAAAAAAGTCGAGACAGTTGTAGAACCAATTTAGTGTCTTTCAATTTATATATCTGAACTTGATCTGTCAATGTAACTCTGAATTTGATATATTGTCAGGATCCCATGATATTATCCACGATTTTATTGCAGGTAAGGAACCTATAGACTCTGAAGTGCAGAAGCTGCTTCAAGATGTTGAGAAATATACTCTAGCAAGTCATCTCACTTGGGGGGTGTGGGGAATAATTTCGGTAATTTTGAACACCTCATGTTTCTTATCATAGGATTACCATTTCAAAATCATTTGACAATCCTGCATGCACTTGGTAACTTGGTATCAGCAATGCAATCTTCGAGCTCGTGCCTCGACTATCTTATTGGATATCCTGCAAATCACTGCCCTTTCTCGACTATCTATATGATCATGAATCGTTAATTGTGATTTTAGTGAAACTTTTATATGTGAAGAGGACACTCAATGACTCAAATTATCACAGAATATATCATTATAAGTTTTTTCTTCACTTCTATTTCTTTGCGATTATCCTATCATGATCTCCATCATGTTGAGCACATGAACCTTTCATAAAAAAGCTATACTTGAAGTTGTTAGATATTTAAATATAGTCATTGACTCAAGAGGGATCAAACCTACTGGTACTTTGACTTTCGCTCGATCATGAAGTAGAAGGGAGATGTCATTTGATGTGATGGCATGGGGTTCGAGTTTATTTCTTTTAAACTAATTACTTGTTTGATATTGTATCATTTTTCTTCCTCAGGAACATGTGAATGAAATTGACTTCGACTACAGAGAATATGCCAAGCAGAGGTTTCAACAGTACTGGATACGGAAGCCCGAGTTGTTGGGCTCTTCTTGAACCCCCACTTTTTGGTGTAATGGTACACTGTTGTTCATTCATTCTCCTTGTTACCCTGTAGATATAATTTCTTTGTAGGATATATTCATGATTTGTTTCGATGCTATTCTGCATGCTTTATTCTTTTCATGAATCAGACATGTTTCATGAATGCTTATACATATTGCTCTTCTATTGTGGGATTTTTTGGGTGATATTCGGCAACAATGATTTGACGATGATGTTGCTATCTTCGATTTGTCTGTGGTTAAAAACAAAACCAGATGATATTACATTTCGTTGTATATGTCATCTTTGAAGATGTTTCTTGTTGAGGATGACTTCGCTTGTGTGAATTCAACTTTTTTTGTGTGCACATTTTCAAGGAAATCTGAAGTCAATATATCAACTCTGTAGATAAAAGCAGCAATAACGCATGTAGATTCGTTTCATCTTACTAGAAAGTGTTGATGCCTACATGTAATGTAAGAAACTCCATCAATCTTAACTCTGGCACTTTGATCGTGATGATAATCGGGGAATTGGGTTTTAAAATTTTAACATGTGAATGATAAATTCAAGCTACAAGTGAAGAAAAAAATGTCATAACATGTGACATTAGTTTATCACGTTTCATTTTATAGCTTATTTCCGGTTTTATTTTACAATGCAGGTTTGCAGACATCGTGATGTATGCCAATTTTAAGAGGGAAATCATCAAGATGGTGTGTGATAGTGCTGATGATGCTGTTTCGTTGTGTTGTTATATGGCATGAAATAACACAAATGTTCTTACAGGTTAACAAAGGAACACAGAAAGGACTCGGAATGAACAAGTAGGGTTTTCCGGCAAATACTCCGAGGGAAGACTGTTTTCTCCGAAACATGTTTTTGTTACATGAGATTGTGCATGGTAAAAGGCCAAAATCAATAATATTTGTAATTTGGTGAATTGGTTTGGAGAGATGAATGGATGACTAGAAATAAAAGCAAAATCCAACATTTGTGCAAAATGTAATATTATGGATGAAAAGCCCCACCATAGTGATCCTTTTCGGTTCGGTGGTTAGGGGTTAGGATATTTGTTGTTGAAAAATAGCATAACGTATATTTCAAATAAAAAATAACGAAGATATATCAAAAAATAATTAATACTAAGAATATTGTGCGCCAAATCTCAAATCGAAAGTAAAAGGATCAAAGTGAAAAAAATAGTTTAGGGACTAAATCATGTATTAAGTCTTAAAATATTTGAAAATTTTGAAGTATTATAAAAAACCCCTTAAATATGATAAAAGAATATCCTTGGACTTTGACTAGCATTAAGCAGTTCTTTATGGGCATTGATCAAAATGTTTTTGACCATAATTTTTAGAATTTATATTGAAATATTTGAAAAACAATTGAATTGTTAAACCCTTCTATAGGTTATATATAGTTAAAAAAAAATAAACTAAGATTATATTTAGATATTTTCAATTTTTATTTTCAAAACTTTTAAATTTATAATGTATATCATATCATTTGATCTAAAGCATCGCATGATATAGTATAATATGATCTTTTTTCAAAAGACATAATTGATAGGATATGCAATGTTATCGTTCATGAATTTTAAAACTTATATATTTTTTCCAATGTGAGATTAATATCCCCACCTTTTGAAGTCATGATATTTTTCCCTATTCAAAAGAAATATTCTTTATCACGAAAAACCGTCATGGTTGTTCACTTTGCTTATCCCACCCACTTGAGTGTTTAACTTGAAATCGAATCGTGAAAGGTCTTTAAAGTCATTATTATCTTTCAAAAAAAAAAAGTATGTTTAGATGGATGTGTAATGCCATCGCTTATAAACTACATTACCTCCCTTTTCTTTCTCGATGTTAAATTAATATCCCAACCTCTCCAACAAGTGACAAATCGAAAATTTGTAGCATTTCGATATATTATGTTTAGTTTTATCTTGAATAATCGTGTACAATTTACAGAAAATTTTATTTGAACGCAAATTACTTAAGAAAAACATACCATCTTTTACTATTAAGACCACTATTCGTTATGTTCAATTGATTTCTTTAATTCTATTAAAAAATGAATTGAATCAGAATAATATTAAGGACTACTATGAATAAAATAATCTTTAAAAGTCAATATGTGGAAAACAATATACTTTAATGACCTATTCATACCTTAAGCCAAATAAAATATATAAAATCCATAAATATTTAATCTGATTTCGTTTCGGCGCGCAAAAGGCTCGTAAAATAAACTTATGATAAGAAATTCCCCTCCATCTCTGTTTTTTCTTTGCAGGTCCAAATGGGAAGCTTAGGGTTTCGTCCTCCCCAATTCTCCGAGGTGAAAATTTATGTTCATGTTTTCCCTTGGCAAACGAAGATAACATTTCCCGTTTGTTATTTATACTTTTCAAATTCGGAGTGCAAAAGATTGAAATCAAATAATTTTGTTGTAATGATAGGAATTGCCTTGGCTTCCGGCTTGTCTTCAACGAATCACAGACACCTCAGTGCAGAGCCCTTCTCACCAACAATTTAAGGTTTTTTTTGGCTAATTTGAGATATTTTTTACAATTTGATTTGTTATTGTTCTTTTAGCCTTTCTTTTATATACGCAATAAGATAATTTAATTTGTTTCACTGAAATTTGAAATTCTTGTGCATAATATATGAAATAATCATCATTATTACTATTCAAAATGAGGAGATTTCATCTAAACTTTAAGTTTTTTATTTTCTATCTTCAAGAAGATAATTTTATTTGGTTTGATTGAAAGTTGAAATTCTTGTTCATAAAATTTGGCGAAATAATAAGAATAGCAATAACAGTAACAATAACAATACTTTTTTTTTTAAATTAGGATTTTTCATGTATACAAGGAGAAGATGCAGAGTTGCTGCTGTCCAAGGAAGAAATTCGATGTAATAGTTTTCATTTAATCTTATCTGGAGAAGAGAACTCACCAATTAGTTCTTTCCCTTCTTCCAAGGATGTAAGTTGTTATTGTTGTGTTTGTTTCCCCAAAATGTTTTATAGTATTAGTAAAAAAAATCAGGGTTTGGATTTCAAGAGGGACTTTATTGAAAAAACTTATTTCTGTTGGTTTGGCTTACGGAAGGGATTTTTATTCAATAAGATTTTACATGCGAAACATTTTTGCACTCGATAATAAAGTATGTTAGTTACAAACTTAAGTTCTTTGAATGGATTTTTTTGGCCTAATCTGTATATGTATTGAGCTGTAGGTGCTTCATTTCCGTCTAAATCTGTCATCAGATGGCGACTCACAGTACTACCTAAGTCAACTATTAGGTACGTCTTGTGCTCAGCATGGATCTAAAAATGTTTTGCAATTACCACAAATTGATATATCAGCTGGAGAAAAGATTGACCTGGTACAAAATGAAGATACTGCTCGTGGGGTAAATGCATTTCCTATGATTTCCATCTCAAGGGATGTGGGGATTGTTGAAGAAAAGAATGACATGATACAAACCAAAGATAGTGCTTATGGGGTAAATGTCTTGCCTATGATTTCCATCTCAAGAAATGTTGGAGAAAAGACTGACCTGATACAGCAGACCAAAGTTAGTGCTTATGGGGTAAATGCCTTGCCTATGATTTCCATCTCAAGAGATGTGGAGGATGTTGGTGGACAATCATCAAATCACACCAATGGTTGTAGTGAGCATTCTGTAGAAAAAGTAACTGTCAGAAACCGCAAAAGCACCGATATTAAAGATGTAGTCGAACTCTCAATTGCCGCATCTGAAGCTTTAGTAATACATGAATTAGTGAGGAGTGAATCAGCTTCAGAAGCTTTTTCCACAGCAGCGGTACTTGAAGCCGCCCTGCAGGTTAAGCAAGCACGCTTGGAGAGCTCAGAAGGTGCATTTGATTGCCCAACTGAGACAAGTGATGAGATGGACTTTCTTTCAGACTTGGATGATTTAACCATGGCTGATGCATTCGAAAATGTTGGATTATCTTTTAGTTGCTTTAGTAATCAGCATGCTTGTGGTTCAGATGTATCTTTAGTCAAAGACACTCCTATATCTGAAGATTGTTTTGGGAGTGGGAACAGAACTGAAAATGCTGAAAAATTTTCTCCTCAGAATAAACCTTCTGATGATCCAACTTCTAGCTTAAAGAGCTCTGATCCTATTATGCTTGAGATGGTCCAGGATAGTTCACATGTTTCAGCAACAGCAGAGGTAAAAGACTTGAAATCCTATCTTCTATTGACTTCTCCATGCTAAACTCAATAAAGAAGAAAAGGAGATATGTAAAACTATTTTCTTTCCCCAAACTATTGGTTAAATTTAGTTAAGATGGGACTTTAGAATTTGTAAGAACTGTTGTGAATTTCTATCATTTTTCTTCTGGATGACTAATTCTAGTACCTTTTCAGAGAGTTGGCTTCTCAACGGAGGATGCTTCTCTTCCATCTCAGGCTGATTTAAATTGTCTTGATTTATGTAATCTGAAGAATGTTGGTGAGAATATCTATTTTCCCTAGTTTAGCCTCTTTTCTTCTAAACATATAATCATTATGTTTAAAGGTCCTATATTTCCCTCCATTTATCTGCTGCAGGGGGAAGTATAGCAAGTCCATTTGTCACTAATGAATTCAGAAGTCGTTGGTTTGGTGGCTGGACAGGGGAGGTATATGCTTCATTTTGTTCTATTGATCTTTGAATCACTCAGGCCCTTTTGTTATTTAGTTTGATTTGTAGTATGTATTTGTTGTCTTATAAATGAGTCGTTGGTTTGGTGGCTGGACAGGGGAGGTATTAGGTATATGCTTCATTTTGTTCTATTGATCTTTGAATCACTCAGGTCCTTTTGTTATTTAGTTTGATTTGTAGTATGTATTTGTTGTCTTATAAATGCCAAAGTTTACAGTTTCAATGAACAGGAGGAAAACAACTGTAACTGTCGCCACTGTAATTTTCTTAGTAATTTATGAAAATGGATATTCATGCTTTGGGGTAGTATTTTCCGGTATATTCTGAATTCTAGGCTGTCTAGAGAGCAAGAATTGTTTTTATTTCTTTTGTGTGTGTGTTGGGGGGGGGGCTACGAGGATGAAAGTGATACTGAATTAGAATTTAAGAACAAGAAGCTTTAATTGAATTTAAGACATTGTGTTAGGAGGAGGGGCAAATAGATAATATCATAAAATTACCATGTCTAGCTTTAATCAAACTTTGACTCAGTCTAGTTATGGTTATACTAGATATTCAATTTCCGTTAATTTGCCTACCATTATATCGCTAATGCTTGCTCTGCTCATCTTTTACTTGCTTTATAAGCATCTCATATGCTGTTTTCTGCACTTTCCACAGCTAATACTTTTGGAAGTTTTGCTTGGTTTAGTTTTTTTTTTGGGTTTATCACTGTATTTGCTGTTTAAATTGGTAGCATGTTTGTTATACTTTCTCGTTTATTTATGAATCTGTTGTCTAAAATTATTTTCCTTTGGTTAGGTTGTTTCTTAATATTTATGGAAAATACATGTATATTCATTAGTCATTCGATGTCTCTCTTTTAATATTTAAAATCTCCTAATTTTGGTGTCCTTTTTTTTCTCTTTGTTTCTATCTTAAGCAGGAAGCTGATACTGAACAGCAAAAACCAAAAATCAAATATATCACAAAGTGTTTTGCTGCTGAGACTAGTTTCTTCTCTGAATCTGCAGATGTTGCACCTGATGAAAACTCATTGGTCAGGAAGTCTGAAAACGAGAGACCTAACATAGCTTCAGACCAAAGTGTACACTTTGAGGGTTTACCTCACCAAGTTGATGAGGGCATTATGGTTTCTCAAGATGTGAGATGCTCTTATCTGTCCTTGGTGGATCCTCTTTGTTCCATCGTTCCTTGCAGCATTTCTTCAGAAAATGCTTGCACTACTTTAGGTCAGAATAAAAATTCTGGAGAAGGTAGTGCGGGAAATTGCCCAGACTCAGTAGGACTTCGGAATGAGAATATGCATGTTGAATCTATCTTTGAGACCAGGCAAGCTCTTTCTGAATCTGATGGTGCATATTCTGCAGCAAAAGTTCTGAGGCAGGTGACCTCACTTAAAACATATAGTAAGGTTTCACATGAAAATGATTCTATTTTGGGAAGTCAAAGGCTTTGTGTTAATCAATTAACCTCTTTACACTCGAGAGACAGAAACAGTGGAATTAGATTTTGTGATAAAAGAAATTCTGAGATGTCCTTGGCTCTATGCTCCATACCTGAGTGTACAAGTGGTCAAGATGCTGAAGAAACTGTTGCAGTGAATAATCCAGATGGGGAAGGAATGGATGATAAGAACTATGAATATGCTAAGGATAACGCTGAGTTGCGGGACCAGCCATCCATGGGAAAGAGCTTGCTTCTTGTTCTACCACAAAGGATGAGCCAGCAACTACAGGCAGCCAAGCTTTTGGATTGTGATTCAAAGGCAGATGCTGAACAGGCTAATGCAGAAGTCTCAGTCTTTCATAACTCAGACAGAAATCGTCAAGGGATGCAAGCTGAGTGCCACAATGGTATGAAAGTTCCATCAAGAAAAAGGGTTCATTTCTCAGAAATTGAAGTCGAATTTCAGCAAAACAAAGAGCTCACCAAGAGACAATCTTTGTACCACAAACGTAATACTATATTTATAATAAGCATAGCATTTCTCTGCTCTTTTGTGAATTTCTTGTTTTTGTTTTATTTTATTTGTAGCCTCTGCATCAAGACCTAGCAAAAGGTTTAAATCAGATGCTCAAATTCGAGATGGTCAAAAGAGCTCAACAATACACTTGAGGAATCAGAAGAGTTTGTTATTTCGGGATATAAAATTTCTGCTTACAGGATTTTCTAGAGGGAAGGAAAAAGAAATTGAAGGATTGATATGGAAATATGGCGGTACTGTTCTGGTTGATATTCCATCTCCTTCAAACAGGGGAAAAAGATGTTCAAGGCAGAAGTTCCAACAGCTTCCTATCATTCTATGCCAAAAGAAGGTTGGTTGTTAAAAATTTATTTCCGTTCCTGATCTCTTAAGATATTACTGTCTGTTTACCAACTGGCATCGAGTTGGTATGATTTCTGAGAACCGATAAGGGATCTACTATGATTTGGATTGTTTGTGACACATTTATATCTCGTAGTTTTGTATTATATCTAGTAGAGTAAAAATAGAGCTGCCAATTCTGATACAAAACCGAAAAACCTGCCCAACCCACTTGAACTAGAACTCGATGATCCCAGAAAGTCAGCAATTTGAAATTTTGAACCTACCTAAGTCCAACCTGAACCAACTTGGGCCAAATTTGAATAACCCAAACCCAAGATAATCAAACTTGAATGATCTACAACATTAAATTTCTAAAAGGATTTGATTTGGCCAAGTAATTTGTTTAAATTTAATCTGATTTGATTTCTAAATTAATTGATTGAATCCAAATCAAAATAACACAAGTGTCAAACCCAAATTGGATACTAAAGCATGTAGGAATTAGGAGTAGCCAAGTATAAACTAAAGCATGTAGGGATTAGGTGTAGCCAAGTATAAACTTATAGATGCAAATAACATGTAAACTGGTCCGATTTTGATTCATTTACAGCACAGTAGTAATTGTAACAGAAAGTTCAGATATTGCAATTTGGGATGATGCAGTAGCTGCGAAATTCCACTATATAAGAACTGTGATGGAAACTTTTTGAGTCATCCAAGAGCCATAACAATGTTCAGTTCTTGTCCCATGCTATATCAGTGCTGTAAGGATTCCAAAAGATAACCCGGCATTTTACCATATTTCCACCTTTTAAATAGCATTGGGTAGTTTAACAACCTAGTTTCTTTCATAATTCCCTTCACCAATGCTAAGACCTATGGTGCCAATCTCCAAAAGATCAAATATTTATTTAAAATGGTTTGAAGAATCTTGCTAATATAGTGGTTTTTGAAGACGATAAATATCTATTATATGACACTTTCGTTACTTTTTTATGTTGTTAATATATATATTGATCTGTTTCTGATAGCCACTGAGTGAGGTAGTCTTATGAACTTATAAGGTATAATTTGATGTCAAGTCGATTAGAACCATTAGTCTATTGTAAGCTTGATCAGCATGATCTTGTTATGAGTTGGCATTTTAAATGACAGAAATCCTTTTGTTTTGGTCGCAGCTACAAACTACCAAATTCTTGTATGCATGTGCTGTGAAGTCATTAATTCTAAAAGATAAATGGCTTACTGATTCAATTACAGCCGGTTCTGCATTATCACCTGCAAAGTAAGTTCTTTATTGTCGTAGTTTTACTTGCTACTTGTTAATCTTAGGCTTGGTTTTTGTTAAATAAATGAATTTTGTTACTGCAATTGCCTTTTTGAGATTTTAGCTTCATCTGGAACTTTATAATTCAGGTTTAATTATGCTTTTAATCTCTACTATACTGGAATTTGGGATATAATCCTTTAACTTTTGACATAATTTGGTCCCTCTACTTTTATAAAGTTATGATCAGGTCCAAATTGATAACACCGTTAGTTGCTATCATTAAATTGATGATGTGGATTCCTTCTTTTCTTTCTAAAATAGCTTTAAGCATTGGACTGACATGTAAATTTATCATAGGTTGAACATAATTGTCGGGATTTTCAGCAACAAGTAATAGTTTTATTAATTTGGACCAAGTAATAACATTATATAAGTAGAGGGATCAAATTATGCAAAACTAAATTAGAGGGATTAAATCTTAAATTTCAGCATAGTATAGGGACTATAACCATAATTTGACCTAAATTAACTATTTCCCTAAATTTGCTTTTGTCTACTTTCTTTGTTCCTTGGCCGTTTACTAGGAAAAAATTGGGGATAACTAGATAATAATTTCTTTATACTTTCCCTTCTAGTGAATGCTTCGTTAATTTATTGAATTAAACTTCGGCTGTTTTTTGGAGAAAACGCTTTAAGAAAAAGGATATTTGTCTTGGTGTTCATGATAAGATTGCTATCGTGGATACACAAATATAATTTGCAGTAATCCATGATAAGAAGCTGGATTCCACAATTGTTTCAAAGCAAAACTTCAAATGTGCCAAATTGTAGTCTCTAATCAATAATCATGCCTTTTTTCTAGAAATGTCTGTCATCTATTAATTTGTCAGGCTTTTATTGTCATGTTCATTCCTCTATACTGTTTCTGATTGAAACTTCAATTTTTATTTATTTTCCTGCAGATACATGGTTCTGCCCAATCAACCAGAAACTACGCTTACCAGAATTGGGAAACCTGTGCGTCACGATAACAGTGCCTATATTTTTAATGGAGTAGGAGTTATGCTTCATGGGAAGCCTCATTTCTGCACCAAATTTGCAAAAGTAATCCAGGTAAATGCTATTTTCAGTTTCAGGTTTTAACGGAATAGTTAGTGCTAACACCTTCTTGCTTCTATTTTTTTTTTGATAGGAATAGGAAGCCTCGTTAAAACCTCCCTCATAGTTGACCCTTTCCTAATAGAAAGGATCAAGTAGTGGAGGGAGGAAAAGAGTGCCTCATTTTATTACCAAACCAGAATACATAAGACTTAACAATACAGCAGATGATTTTACATTAGACTTAACAACTTCTGCTACTTCAAGAACCTACAGCCATAGAAAAATGAACTATAACTAAAACATACAATCAACCGATCCCCTGCTTTGCTAAACTATCTGCCTCCCCATTACAAGACCTTGGAATTAACCTAATTAAAACCACCTTTTCAGAAAGGAACACCAGAATTTCTCTAACAAGAGGCAACATGAAAACTGGTGCCAAAGACGGGGTGTGAATCCACTCCACTGCTGACTTACAATCACTCTCAACAACCAATCTACTGGCAGCAGACCATCTTGAAGCTAGAAAAATTTCGATACCTCTTTTAATAGCCTTTAACTCTGCAACTGGTGGGGGACCTTGACCAATATTCTCTGAAAAAGTCAAAAGAGTGCAGCAATTTCAGTCCCTTAAAATGCCTCCAATACCTCCAATCGAGTCATTTAACCTAACAGCTCCATCAACATTCATCTTTAAGAAATCAACAGGTGGAGGAAGCCAGCCAATAACAGAATGATCTTTAGGTTTAGGAACAGAAATACCATCAGCAAGTGATGGATCCCCAATTAGCAGATCTTCCTGAATAGGGAATTTAGGATACTTGGCTAGGAACCATTTAGATAACCTAAATCTCACAAGGAAAAAGAGAGACAGCCTATCAAGGTTTAAACCTTCAAACACAATCGCATTCCTTGCTTTCCAAATAGACCAAAAAACGACTCCCGGGATAAACTTCCAAATCAATGAATTCAACCTCAAACTCCCCCACGAATTAAGTAAGGAAGGAGGGTCCTGTGGTAGCACAATGGACAAGTCCCAGAACCTTGCCAGTTTATTCCATAGTTCCCAAACTACAGAACACGAAATGAATAAGTGTTGCACAGATTCCTCATGTTCCTTGCAAAAAGGACAGAGTATATCTTCTTCTAATGACATTCCTCTTTTAACTAACTCCATTTTAACTGCAACCTTCTGATGAGCTAACTGCCATAGGAAAGCTTCTACACGAGGCGGAGACAAACCCAACCACACCCCTTTTGACCACAAATCAATACCCCCAACTTCCTTACCAAGAGCTTTCCTGCACGATTTCACTGAGAATAACCCATCACCACTTGCTGACCAAGAGAGAAAATCTTCAACCGAATCAGTAAGTTTTTATTTCCTTTAATTTCATCATCAGATCCAACCATTGTTCCAATTCCAATCAGACAAATTCCTCCTAGTAATAATGTTCCACTGCCAACCATTCAACTCAAAGCTTCCAAAATCAGCAACCCTACCCCATTTGTTAGTTGAGAGTGCAAAAATTCTAGGGAAAAGAATTTTTAAAGGAACCCCATCCACCCATGGATCAATCCAAAAAAATATGGACTTACCATTGCCTACTTGCAACTTCGAAAATGATCTAAGACACTCACCCGCCGGATCATTCTTCAAAAAATTATTAGCAATACTTCTCAAATTCCAAGAAGATTTTGGAGAAATGACCTTACTAATAGACATAGTATTACTACTAATATTATGCTTACTACATAACACTTTTTTCCATATGGAATCCTTTTCGTTTGCGAACTTCCACACCCATTTCCCCAATAATGCCCGATTAGAAAGATTCAAGTCAAGAACCCCAAGGCCACCACTGTTCATTGGTTTGCAAACTGTATCCCAACTAACCCAGTGGATCTTCCTTTTTTCCGCACTGTCACCTCATAAAAATCTGGCCATTAAGGAGTTTAATTTATTCCCAACTTTGCAAGGCATTTTAAAGAAAGATAGGAAAAATATTGGTAGGGAAGTCAACACTGACTTTAATAGAACTGTCCTGCCAGCCAAGGACAGAGAAGAAGCTTTCCACCCAGCTAGTTTTGAATTGAAATTTTTAAGGACAGGATCCCATAAAGCTTCAGAATTCTTCTTAGCACCGATTGGAAGACCCAAATAATCTGCGGGAAAACGATCAACAGAACAGCCCACTTCCAATGCCCAGTCTGATAAAATATCCTCATCAACGTTTACACCATACAGTTTACTCTTCTTTAAGTTTAGATGCAACCCCGCCATTATACTGAAAATCCTCAACACCCTTTTGACATTTTTAATCTGAGTAAGTGAAGCTTGGCAAAAAATGATGAGATCGTCGGCAAATTGAAGATGAGATAACCGAAGTGAATCCTCAGAATTCCCAATCACAAAACCTTGGAAAAGTCCTTTGTCAACTGCTTTGTCTAGCATCAAATGCAGCAACTCACCTACAATATTAAATAGGAGCGGAGAGAGACTACAACCTTGTCTTAGTCCTTTAGCCATAGTAAACTCTTCCGAAGGGGAACCGTTCACCAGAACCGAAACCGAAGCAGAAGAGAGACACTGTGAGATCCACGAACACCATCTAATACCAAAGCCCATCTCCTTCATTGCTCTGTTCAAAATCGGCCATTCAACAGAATCATATGCTCTGCGAAAGTCAACTTTGAAAACAACCCCTTGTAGACCTTGTTTTCTCCAATAATCGATCCCTTCATTTGCAACAAATGCACAATCCAACAGTTGTCTCCCTGGAATAAACGCAAACTGGAAAGGGCTAATAATGTCACCAACACAGCTGCTAAGTCTCTTGGATAGAACTTTTGATAGGATCTTATACAAACTTCCTACAAGGCTAATTGGTCGATAGTCTTCAACACTTTCCGGATTTAAAATTTTCGGAATTAGGTAATAAAGGCGTGATTTACTCCATGCTCCCACATCCTTCCGAAATAAAATCGTTAAAAAATTCCAGTACTTGCTCCTTTAAATCTGGCCAGCATTTCTTGAAGAAACCCATTGTAAAGCCATCCGGACCAGGAGATTTAGAACTGTCCGAGGATGCTATAGCTTGCCAAACTTCCTGTTCTGAAAACTTCTCTATTTTTGTAGATTGTTCCCTTGACAGTTTAGAAAAATCCAGAAATAAGTTCTCCACTTCCATTGTAGAAATGGAATTAAAAGCTGTCTTGAAAAAATCAGAAATGTGGGTCTTGATCAGAGACGGGTCTGAAACTACAATCCCATTAATCTTCAGACTAGTAATTGCATTTCTCCTGTTTCTGTTTAGTGCACACAAGTGGAAAAATCTAGTATTTCTGTCCCCTCCTTTGATCCATCTCGTTCTTGCTCTTTGAAACCAAACACTTTCTTCAATCCTGTACAACCTCCAGAGATTCGATCTATACTGCTTCACCTGTTCCCACTCTTGCGGAGAAAGATTACTACCTTGTGCCTTCAATTCTAACTCATTAATTCGCCCTTCTAAAGTTTCGATAGAGTCTGAAATCACATTAAATTTCCTGCTTGACCAGTTTCTGATTGACTTTTTAGTTCCCTGTAAAATACTGAAGATACCCCTTCTATTATTCCTTTCCATCAAATCAACCATTGAAGATTTAACCAATTCCTCGAAGCCTTCTTCCTCTAATAAATAATTGTAAAATCTGAATGGTTTAGGACCCCAGTCTACATACGAATCCTCCAATGACACCGGATTATGATCTGATATGGACCTAGGCAGTAGCCTTTGAACTACGTTCGGAAAGCAGGTCAAAAAATTACCAGAAATTAAGAACCTGTCAAGCCCAACCCAGGTTGATTCTTCCCTGTTGTTACACCAAGTAAAAGTTCCTCCCACCAACTGAAGATCAATTAAATTAGTTTGCTGCAGAAAATTCCTAAATATATCAACAGAATGCCAATTTTGAGACCTTCCTATCTTCTCAGCCGGATCAAGATACGTATTAAAGTCCCCCCCAATACAAACTAGATTCGATTGGGCTGAAACAAACTCCAGTAATTCCCTGTAGAATTCATCCTTTTCAGATTCAGTGGAGGGACCATAAATATTCATAATCACACACTCCTCAACAACATTCTTAAACTTCCCAAATATTGCAAAGATCCTGCTACTTAAGTAACTACTGGACACTTTAAATTCATTATCATTCCACATTACCAGCAAACCCCATGCAGACCCAACTGCTGGTGAAAAGATACATCCCTCGAGAAGACAACCCCCTATCCTTCTCCTTAGTGCCATAGAACAGTTTTCTAGCTTTGTTTCTTGAATAAGTATAATGCTCGGCTTATTCTTCCTGACTAATTTAGCTACAGCTCTTGTTTTTTCCTTCTTCCCCATCCCCCTTATGTTCCACGAAATAATATTAATGTTCCTCATAAATATAACAAATATCCCGAGAAATTCAAATAAAAAAAGCACAATAGCACAACCCCTTATTTCAACAATTCCTACTAACCCCAATCCTTCCTCAAGATCAATAATTTTATCTAAAAACACCTTCTTGCCTTCTTTAAATGAGATCCCCAGCAACTTACTAACCTCCCACGTAGCCACTGCTTCTTCCAAAAACATCGAAAAGGAGGGAGAAGAAACTGTGTGTAAACTAGCCACCTCCAAAGCTTCCCTAGTCAAAATCCTTCTCTGTCGCCTACTCTCTTTCCCTATAACTGCTCGAGACTGCCAATCTGATCGAGGCACTACTCTACTCCCTGGATGCTGGTCCAAGTCTCCTACTACACTTTTAGAGGGACCTCCTTCCTCATCGTCGCTAATTATTCCATCTTCCTCTAAAATTGGGAACGGTTGGGTGGTCAATAAAGAATTGGAAGCTTTTCTATTATGGTGCAGTACCTCAGCTGGTCGCAACAGCTCTTCTTCTATCTTTGGATCATACCAGAATTTTCTATCTTTTGATCTTCTATATACTCTATTACAAGTTCCTCTATTCCATCTTCTCACCGGAACACTCGTCAAAGCCAAACTTCTGGACAAATGAACCAACGGACTCCAGCTCCTCTGACCATTAGAAAACGTCCCCTTACGTAATTCCATTGGTTGAGTTCCAACAGTTTTGATTGAAACATCATCCTTTTCCTCCTCCACTCCTTTTGCGTTCGTAACCTCGTTGTCCAAGACCACTACGTCCTTTATCGATTCTTCATTGGACTTGATCCATTCCCTGTTTAATTGGGGAATAAATCTGCCTTTGGACCCTTCGGCAATCCATTTCAGATTATACGCAGGCCCTGAAGGACACATAATCTTCATGCTTGATTCAGAAATCAAACTGTTACAATCTTGGGCTTGAGAGTCTAGGCCCAATTCTTCCCTTAGACCAAGTCCAGCATGCTCCCCAGCAGGATATTTTCCTTTTTCCCGCAAATCTGACAACCCACCGTCTAAAATATTCAAATTTGACTTTTTTGGTAAAAGCTGCTCCCCATCCCCCTTTTGCAACCTACTCCTCTGCTCCTGATCATGCCAGTTGTCTTTCTTCAGCATAGAGTCTTCAGAAGACTTAAAATTTTCAACTTGTTCCAAAGTCAGACGGCGGCCGCACTCTTCCTCGGGAAAATGATTTTCACTGTACCCGTAATTTGAATTTTCACCATCAATCCCCCCGGAAAACTCCTCCGGTTTTAAAAATACCGATCCCAGTATGGCTTTGACCTTGTATGATCTGCCGTAAGACCCTATTGTGACCATTTCAGGACATCAACGGACTGGCGACCCTGATCAAACTCTTGCTGACGATAAATCTGACCTATTCTTTGAAGAATCCAAGATGCCAATGAACTTTCCCCCATTTCTGAACAAGTTTCTCCAAGAACTCTACATTCCAGCATAATAACGGTAATCCCATCAATTCCACGAGACAGAACGCCAATGGAACTCCCTCCTCGTTTAGCAATGGCTCTAGCCAATCAAACCAAAAACTGATCTCCTCCTGTTTTCTTGCCCATGTATTAGAGTAGTCTTCAATCGATTTAAAGGTTACAACACAGGCATTCCATGCGTAGCCCCATCTCGCTATTTTTACCTGAATTCCTTCACTTGCCAAAGCTTTTTGAACAAATTCTTGCTCGAAGGATTGCTTGATTACCCCTGTTAAAGACCTTTTCACCCAAGTCGAATCCTCCGAGGAGATATGCATCTCCCAGACATTCCTTATCCCATTAGCAGCCTTCCTTATCCTTTGACCATCCTCTTTATTGACATTTCTGCAATCCTCTCTATTGGTCGTTTCCACCACCTCTTTGTATGATCTACTGTCCCTCAGGTTTCTCAAAGATCCAGCGTGCTTCTCACCATTTGTTTTCTCCACCCTTATTGGGATTGGCCCATCCCTCGTAGACCTGCCTTCAGTAACTTCTCTATTCCTGTTGTTCTGATATTTTTCTAACCCGACTGAAACTTTTTTCCCATCGATCCAAGTTCCGTTAACACACTGAATAGCCCTCCTCCTCCCTTCCTCACTTGCAAACTGGACAAACGCGAAAGTGTAGTTCTTGTATTTCGGTTTTTGAGTAAAATTTGGAATGAAAATCTTGATTATTTACTGGAGAACTGAAATGTAAAACAATTCTTACAAACACCATTTTTTGTGTGTCAGAGTGCAAATTCATCTTCAAAGAATCGATTCGTATTTACAAGCATTATTGGTTTTAATGATTAAATGATGTTCAAGAATGATACTTTGCAGTTTACAATTATTTTTAGTTTTTACACCTGGAAGGCATTTAGGCGTTCTTGTTTGAGGGTTCAGTTAACACAGCAGTTTTGTTATTGGGAACTTAATAGATTCTTAAACATTTGGGTTAATATAACCAATTTATGTGTGCAAAAGGTTATTGTTTCATCCTGGTTTGAGCTGTTCTTAAACAGGCCACTTTTAAAGATTTCAATTATATTTGACCGTATTGGTGTGCCATACTCCCATCTATGTTCATGCATCATTATGCTACTGCTAGTATTTCATCTACATTCTATAATCCGAAGCCACTCAAAGTTCCGTGAGTTGCAAAAGCTGCTTTATACTTGACGTCAATACCATGTAGTAGTATTTCGGGTGCTGAAAATCTTGTTCCAACTGCAACATATTTTCCACCTTTTTCTTTTTTAGCTTCTGAGCATGTAAATTTTAATACCCTTTTCTTTCTTACACTTTCCTTAAAAGTCTAATACTATTATTATTTTCTTTTTGGTTGGCTAGCATGGAGGTGGACGCGTGTTTGGAACTCTCCTTTGGTTAATTCAAAATCTTGATGATGAGAAAATATCCTTGGCTGTTATCGTTTCTGAAGGCGAGAATAGGGCATCTCGCCACCTACGACAGTGTGCTTTAGAGAGAAAGATACCCATGATGGTCAGTGCTTTTCTGCCCCTTCCACCTTCATTGTAAATTTATAATTATGTGTATGAGTGTCTGTTATCAAGGGAGGCTGGTGTCGTAACCATGTTTTAATTTCCAGTTTTGTGTTTATTTATTGCAGCCAAGTAGCTGGATTGTAAGGAGCTTGTACTCAGGGAAGCTTCTTCCTTTCACCGAAAAGAAGCAAACAACTTTGCATGCTGTCATTGATCCTGATTTTCCGGTTTCTGATAATTGTAGTCAAGAAATTTGATCTATGCTTGGCGTAAGTACAATAATATTTTAGTAGTTCAAGTATCATTATTTTGAATCAGATGTGAATATTAGAGTTGTATGTCTTGCAGCATTTCTCCTTTCTGGCGTTGGGTTTGTGAAAGAAGCATATCAAGTCAAAGGACTCGAAGGACAAATTTTCGAGTTGAGTACGGTTCAATGGATGAGCAAGAATAGGGAATTAAACATATCTTTCTTTTAATCCATTGGATGGCTCTGTTTCTTTGTTTATGTCGGAATCTGCCCACTAGAGGTTGTAAAATTGAATGTAAATTATGGAAAGCTCGAGTGAACTACATCAACTCCAAGTTAGTTTTTACATCAGGGATAAACCTCTTCCTTGCCTCTTAAAATTTGAATTATTCAGGCGAGACCGTGAAAATGGTATTTGGTCTTTAAGTGAAAGATTTACCCTTTCTGAACTTATTGCCCAACCCGAGATCCGACTGCCAACAGAATTTCTCGGAAAGTAACTGTTTCATCACTATAGCTGGCCTCGGTTTGAAGTTGTGTTTCCTCTTATTTCTCTATGCTGCTCTGAGGCTTGATCTTAACCGAGTGCAAAGAAGATGACTGAGCCACCATCTTTTTGAAATAGTAAAATATTTAGGATTACCAGCACCATGTAAAGCTTCGGATTAAATGGCCTCAAGTATTCAAACCTAGTTGGAATTCATGGCGAAAACAGTCATTTCCTTCGATAAGAGAATGGAAGCCATTAAATTTCAAAGAAGCTGCTAGTGTAGTTCTTCAGTTCTTTCATGGTTTCTTTCTACTGTTTTCTATCACATTGCTCTTTGCTGGTTATCCTGTAAGTTGCTTCTCCCATTTGTATTGTGGGCTACATTATATATATAAGAGGAAATCCCACAATAACTCTAATAGCCATGATCAACTATGCTTGTTGTTGGCTCCGTTTTGCAGGTGCCGAAACCCATCACCAGTTTGGAGAAGCATGCTTGCAGCACGGGTTTCATCGGGGGAAAAGGATTGTACTGGCGGATCGGAAATTGTGAGAAGATATATATTTGGCATGACTGATGGCTATCTATTTCGTTTGTGGGATAGGGCTTTACAAAGATCAAGAGACATCAGTAAAACTGCTGGAAAAGACAAGGATGCATGGGCCAAAATTGATGAACAATTATGTAGTTTATTGTTGCATTATCTTGAGACTAAATTACTTGGTTTCACTCAAATGATATTCAACGCATATATAAAGCTATAAAAGATATAGTTCGTTTACAACAAAGTCAGTATGATATGGCTAGTTACTTGGGTCAAGCTGAAAAATCTGAGGTGATTAAAAGGTAGTATATGTTCAGAATTTTTTTTAATCGATTGATGATGTACACACATTGCTACTCTAACTTGTGTCTTCTTAGGGAAACAATATATTTTTTTACCATTGAGGTATCTAGATGATGTTTCTCAAATTATCATTAAGGGGATAGGAGATGTTCATCCTCATCCTTCTATTCCCTTAAAATCAGTTTTGTATGATGTCCATTTATCCTAGTTTCCATTAGTAAACTCTCCAAACAAATATATTGTAGTATTTTATTATTCTCATTATGCTTTTGTGCATGACCGGAGCACGTGGAAGATGATCGGCGAAGGACACGAGTCTAATCCTATCCTTCTTAGAATGCTAGTCGTGCTGATCATTCTCATTGCTGAGATTAATAATCAATTTGATGTTTCTGTTAAAATTCTTGCAAGTGACAATGCAGTAAAATACAGACTCAACCTTTTCATGAATTCATGACCTCAAGGGATTATCTATCGAACATATTGCACCTATAACCCTCAACGAAATGGAGTGGAAATCAGCATCTTATCGAAACAGCTGGTACCATGCTCATCATAATAAGGTATCCTCGACCACAACCGTAATTCAGTACTGTGCTCACGCTGCATTACACGTCTTTAATTTTCCTTTTGTCGGTAAAAAATAAATATATCAATGTCTCGTCTTCCCCTTCTCCTGTCATGCCTCAAACAGAAGAATCGCCTTCTCCTATCGTATTGAGTGGCCTCGATAGTTGAGGGAATGTGTTGTTCTCTTCAATGAACTCAGGTTCGAGAAATTGCATTATCGGGGGGGGGGGGGGGGGGGGGGGGGAGGAAATGAATGCTCTATGTGATAATCATACCGGGGCATCTATTTCTAGACAGGGAACGATGCATCACCTTAGAATTCTTGGATATATACATGCTCCAATCCGAAATATATCATTTAACTGAGAATTCTTCAATTCAACTAATAACTAGTTAACCGACCGAAAAAGGATAAGTTGTTGTTTTGCAGAAACCTTTAACATAACAGCAGCAATTTAACAATCGCTGCAGTTTGCACTCAATAAGATAAGAACAATTTGGATTTGAAAAACTTTATTGGAAAAGCAAAATTCAGACCTTACGATTTTGTTATTTAACGAGTATTGATTGGCCACCTTGGAAAACAAAAAAAAAGCAAAAGATTCAATTTCACAGATCAGGTAGGCATCTGAAATCGACAAAGAGGAAAGGTTACTCTTCTCCAACCAGCTTAAGATGCAGTGTTGATGATATACATGGGAGCAAGGCATTTGATTAGCTTCAAACCCATCCAATATCTCTTCCAAACAAATAACACACTTCATATTACCTTCAACTTCAACATCCTTCAATGATCCAATGGCTCCCTTGCTTCTACCCCTCACTGCTTCTTCCTCCTCCCATGGCAATCTTTCGGGACCGAGAGTGACGATAATAGGGATGTTCTTGCGTTCCTTGTTACGCGTTTCGCTCAAGGCCGAACGTGCACATTCGATGATCTTATGCATCACCGTGGCATGAAGGCTAAAGGGTACTCCCAGCTGAGAAAGCTTGCTACATATAGCCGACCACGATGTGCTGGCCTGTGTTAACTGCTCCTGCGGCAGGAAAAGCCGTTGGACGGTGGTCGTGTGATGGCAAACAACGTTAGCAAAGATTTCGATAAAAAACACGGGACAGAGTGACAGATCGTGTTCACCACCGTCTTCACCCTCCATCTGCCATACCTCACATTGATAGTATGACATTGTCTGCTGGAGAAAAAACCAGATGAAATATACTGCAAGGCAAATTATCAAAACCCTAGAAAAGATTATTTTGGTGGTTGAATATTTCATTGATTCGAAATCTTGGTTGGTTGGTACACATTAAGGTAGGTATAAGCTACAAATCGCATAACAAACATTTGGAGAGAAGTGACTTGTAAGCTAAGAGATAGAAAGGTAGGTGGTAACTTTGCTCAGCATAATTAGGTTTGGAATTGAAATGTCTTGATTAAGGAGTTTGAAGAGCACAGTAATAGTAAGATTTGGTTGGAATTAGAAATGTAATTAATAAATGTGATTAGGATATATTGATTAGTGTATGAATATGTTCTTAATAAATATTAAAATTATGGTACCGTATGAATTTTATCATTAAACTCTTTTCTTACTCCTATTTTGGTTACTAAAATTTATTTTTTTAATTTACTCCTTAAACTTTTCGGTTTGCTCGTTTTTTGTTCGCTCTGTCATTAAATACTTATCAGTGTTATGACTGGATATTTTTCATTTAAAAATTATGAAATGATCCTAAAATTTTCTTATTTTCTATGCAAAACCCTTAGTTTTAAATTCTCTTTTATTTCTCGATGAAGAATGGTAGGGAGATGAAAAAGAGGACACGAGTTGTATGTTTTTATTCCACACTAATAAGATTGTGGACATTATAGCTAAGAGTGATTTAAGGTTTTACGAATTTTTAGGTTTATAGTTGAATTTCATAAGTTTTAAGATGATTTAGGTAAAATCTAAACATATAGAATGATAGAAGACAATGAGACGACTTTGTCTATATCTTGACTGGTTGAAAAAGACGTCGGGAATAGTACTTCATCGTTGACACGAGACAATGATGAAATTGTAAAACTTTTATCTTTGGAGAAAGAAAAATAAAAACATAAAAAAATAAAAATGATGAGCCGTTTCACTTTCAATCAAAGAGGTTATCAAAGACAAGATATTTCTTAAATTGGTACCTAATATTTTCTTTGTTTCAAATTGTATTTAAATAAAAAGAATTTTAAATTAATACATGAACTTAAAAATTCTTAAATTGATCAAAGACTAATTCGAACGAAGTTATCAATTTCAGAGGCTAGTCTAATCCAAAAACAATTCAGTTGATCAAACTTGTCAATTTCATGTACTAATTTGACCTAAAAAAAGTTGAGGGTCAATTTGACCAAACTTACAAAGTCTACGAGTCATTTTGTATTTTAAACCTTAATTTAATTAAGGTTTTATTTTTCATTAACTAAAAACACATCGACGAAACAAAAACTCTTAATTAAGGTTTAGCTAACAATTGGAAAATTTCAAATGTAAGTGACTAAGCTTTCTTGAGTTGATTTTTAAATGTTTTATGGTGGAGAAAAGATCTACATAGTTTATGCCCCATCATGTTTGGGTTTCGTATTTACTTTAGAGAAATACATTTATGTTTCTTTAAGTAAAGATGTCCCTACATTTATCCCTCTGAAAATTTTAAACTAGTACATATTTTAGATATTTTCTTTATATTTCTTTATATTTTTTATTGATAATTTATTTTCGCCCTCTAGAATTTTATAAGTTCGTTATCTTCTAAAATTTTTTAAGTTCACCCCTAACAAAGGATCCTAAGTCTGTCCCTGGATGTGTCGATCTTTTCTCAAGCACTGTTGCAGACTACATTCGATACGGACAGAAGTTGAGAGGGTAGAAGTTAACTGATGTTGAAGTTTCCAAGTTGCTTACACTTGCAGACCTTGATTCCTCCTTTCTAGGTAAAACCGGTTGTGAATCCGTCGGTCAAGCTCAAAGAGTTGCACTTGCTCGGACACTTGCTAATGATGAGGTAGCCATGCCCCCTCGCTCCGGCCGATATGTTTACGTTGCATTTTCGTGTTTTCTTTCTGAGCTATCACTTCAAGATAACTCGGTTTCTTTCATGGATATTGACATCTCGAAATTTCGGTTTCAAGGTTTTGCTCCTGGACGAGCCAACGAGTGCATTGGACCCGATTTCAACACAGAACATAAAGGACCGAACTGGAACCAACCCGAGCCGTGTTTATGTAAGATTGTTAGAAGCAGTTAAAAGAGAAAACAGATCTAAGTTGCAAGCACACACTACTCAGTTCCATTAGAAAAGCAAAAAATCAAGCTGTCACTATCTCATAAGATTATTGTATGATAATTTAACCATGTAAATGCATAAATCTAACTAAATCAAATCCCCACATTATCCATTTGTTCTCCTGTCAAATAAGTCAGCTTTATACATGTTCGAAGCTCAATTTGTCGGAATCCATGCCGAACTAGCCAAACACTAGTACAGTGTTTTCCTAGAAGAAGAAGCCTCAGCAAGCAGTTAAGCAACTTAAGGTATATGTGCTTCAACGAGGAGACAAGTCATTATCATTGCTTTTATAACTTTTTTCTTTTTTCTTTTTTCATTCTTAAAAGTCATCTAAGGAGGGTTTAAGATGCCATCAAGAAATGGACAAGCCCTTTAACAGATTTTCGAGTTAGGAGAAGCCCACTCGAAGTAGTGGGCAGCGAGCACCTCTGGTGACAGTCCAGTTCCCGCAGCCGAAGAAGACACTTCCTTGCTTTGGCCCGGGCTTCCGAACCATTCCTTTGCTGCTCTTTACCCCACAGAAACAGTAAGGGTGACTGGAATAGGGGCATTTGTTGATCCTTAGGCTTGTGGGGGTGATGCAGAGTGAAACCCGTTCTCAGGGATCGAGTTCCATGTCACCGGACCATCACTAGCCTGCCACATCAGTGAGTTTGTGATAGCGAACTTAAAACCCTGGTGCATCAATAGCCAAGGAGCTGTGTTTTTGGCATCGTCAAGGCCACAATGTGCACGCCCCTGCCACACTAAGCCTGCCATTTCGACTGCCTCCTTCAGATTGCATCTCACGCCACTAAAACCTCATGGAACGGAACTTTTAAGTTTCCAACTGCCGAAAGGAAAACAAGAAGAATATATAAATATAAATGTCAATGGTGTCAACATTATCATAACATTTTGCAACACAGAATATGATTTCCAAACAAGCACATATCAAAATCATTTACCGGTTAAGTAAGGAGGCTTCCGGATTCTTAAACTGGCACTCAGATTCCAGCATTACCCGACAATCCCAGTTTGACCACGTCACCACGGCGAAGTTAGTGTTCTTTATGCCCTTTTTCTCAAGCCACTTATCATGCCTAAGGAGAGCCTCACTCAGAGTAACACCCCTATCTACCTAGAACATCATATGGATTTAGAATAGGCTCACAAGTTCATATTCTTGATAAAGACAAGGAATTCGGAACTGACCTGAATTTGCTGGATGCCAGTCAGATCCTTGCAAAAATCGCTCAGGAGTTGGTTGCAAGTAGGTCGTACGTATGTCTGAAACATGCTTCCAACTGGCCAGTAACACTGCTCACAATGACAGAAGGAAACTCGATAATCTCCTGTGGATGGGATTTCTCTCCTTGTCGCAGGTAGCCTCAAAGTCTATAACCACAAAGTATTGAAAATCTTGGACTGGAATTCATACGGGTATCCTTGTGTGACCATTTATGGGGGGATAGTGAAACGGTTATCCGCAGGAAATTGGTAAAACTGGCTCCCAAAAGCATTTGGTGGGTATGGCTGCAACTTATGAGAGTCGGGATAGAAGGTCGACCAAGAGCCAGAATCATGCAGAAGGTAGGTTTGTGGTAAAATTCGTTTGGAAGTTCCATAAACTGCCGATTCAAAGAGCAAACGGGTTCTACCGCATCCCCACCTTGGTGACTACAAATTTCATCTTTAATCTCAGGAAGGTCTTCAATTGAATTCCCGGTACATTGCAGGTTGTACGGGAACCCCTTTGTCTGGAGGCATTTTAAGGTTGCCTCGCAGTTCTGCGTAGTTTCTACATAAAATATAACCATGCATATCAGTATATCAAATTTGATTTATCATCATAATATGGCCCATAGTAATTCCTCTGAATCAAAGAACAAACATAAATGACAGTTGCTGACACAATGGCCAAGCGAAAAATCACAAAAAAGTGCAAGAAAATGGTGACTAATAGGGTTCAAGAACTGAAAATTCTAAAAGTTAGGACACTCAAAGATAAACTTTGGCGCTTTCTTGGAATATATCCATCTCAATATGCTGAAATTCAAGGTAATAATTTAACGAGTGCGTTAATTTCCATTTAATTCACAAGATCATCAACAAAGTTGTTTGCCTAAAGACTATACTATCAAGCTATTCTAATAAAAAAAGATGATTAAATGTAAATCAAGAATGTATTATGTTCACATAAGCCTCTAGTAACCTCCAAATCACTCGTTGTTGCATACTTTCTAACTTTTAAGAAAAAAAAAGTGATGACGTACATAGATTGCGAAGAATGACTTCACAAGTCATGATTCTTCACAGTAATGGAGAATGTCATTGATAGTCTGTAATTGTTGGTTAAAATTTAGAAACTGCTCCAGAAGCAAGCAATCTACAGTTACCTTTCTACAAAAGGAAAAGAAAACGAGAAGAAAATAGGGAATATGTGGATAAAGAGCATGAAAAGGGAGATAAGTTTCAATGGGATCCAAATGAACAAATCAACCAAGTACTAACTAGTGAAGTTTTATACACAAGGCTAGATTTACTTTGGCAACTAACAGGAGACAATTTCCAATCTCCAGTTCTACTCGTTTAGCAATGCTGGTTGAGGAACTAACTACGTGCAGATTAGCCAGATGAAAATACAAACCCACCCAGTTCTACTTGTTTTCGAGAATGAGCGTCAATGCCCCCTAAATAAATTAAAAAAAAGACCCATTTTATTAATATCTTAATTTATAAATTGTGGAATGCCTATCCAATCATAAAGTTTGTAGCTAACATGCAGAAACTTTACTAGACATGTAAGTTTTCATGATTATATACAAAGTATACATGACAATCTTTTTAGCTA